TTTTTTTTTTTCCCATTTAGATTTCTGTGGAAACTTTTAAATCTTACTTATGAACTGTGAAGATATATCCGACTTATTTTACCCCCATAACTGCAAATTTTAATATTGTAGACACTAGTTCATTTTAATTAAACACGATGTGAATAGGCCGCTATAAACGTCTCGTTCTTTGCAATATTTAACCAGCGATCATCAATAGTAGATAGTACCAAAATAGAATTTTAAGCATGTGATATGTGGCGTAAGATCCTAAATTTGTAAATGAGGATAATTCATTGAAACATCGTAGAAACGTAACACAAATAGGACTATTGGATACACCATATCGCCTATTGCTATATTTTTTACAGATCTAGTTGGTAATAATTTTTACTTATATTAAATATGTGTCTCAGGCGGTAAACGCTTTTCATTTTACACTGTAATAAATGATATAATATTTTTTGGGCCATAAAGACAACGGCGGACCATGGGTTAACAACCGCTAAACTATATGTTCTCATTCTCTGAGTTCATCGGTATTCCTAGTTTTAGAAGTCTTAGATATAACTGGCTATTCTGTGACGTGTGCACAATACTAGTGATTAATCACGTCCGTACATAAAAGTAAAAATTTATACTAGAATTTAAAGTGTGAATCTACTAACCCAGAGTTCTAAACCTTATGCCTAGGTAACACGAAATTACCCTGTCATTATAAAGTACGTCGGAGGTTGGTATATAACAATTACAAAGCCTACGACTCCTGTGTCACGTGTTGTTCGAGGATTACGATGGATTTACAGTGATTTTGTGTTTATTACCTTTATACATCCAGGATGGTTCACAAGAATAATGTGATATTAATGATGTGACGTATGTAGGTCATTACACTCCTTGATGGTCAGTAAATTAAATGTATATTTATTCATAGCTGTACCTCACTGACGACGATATAGTTACACTTTTTTTGTGAAACGTACGAAAAATATAGGCGTGTATACAGTGTGTTTTGTGTATGAAAGATTGATATTTTTACACGGAGCTGAAAAGTAAAATTATTATTACAAATTTTACTCGAAGTAATTCAGTCGGTTTTCCATGTGCAATATTTTTAAAAACTTGTTGTTTTCAGAACACAATATATATACCTAGAGAAATTGTTGAGAAATGGATTAATATATTTGGCAATAATTGTCAATTAATTATTTCTCGTGGGAGAACAATTGAAGCAGTGTATGAAATTACGCAATTCCTGGTTTCATTACCGCAGACCTTGTTCATGGGTGCAATTGATTAACATATTTGGCTTGTCTATTGTGTATATGCAGAAATAATGAACGACAAATCGATACTGATATATGGCAAAGTAGAGAAAGGAACGCATTGTACATTTGTTTACTGGGTCCCACCCGCCCCGCACTACAGTATGTAACTAATTTTGGGAATAATATAATTTTATTTATGTGTTAGGTTTGTAGTTACAAATCCCTTGCCTGTACAGGATACCAAAAAGTTTGCAGCAAAAGCCTATCTCTGTAAGTAAAACATGACCCGCATTTAAATCATACTTTATGTTTCTTTTTATTAATGTTTTTCTTTCCTACTTCATTTCTTTGATTCTTTCTTTTGTCCTTTTCTGGTTTCAATGTTAGGCTTTTGCAGAATACCCAGGCCCCTGGTCTAGTTTCTGGTTGTGTTACGTGCATAACGTGAGTAAGAAAGGACAAATAAACATGATGATAGTTAATAATAACAATAATTACAGTGATTTTATCATAATAATACCATGATTTAAAATATATATTCTTGGAGTACATACTCTAGCATTTAAAATATGTTCTTCACGCCACATAATGTAGATCGTCCATGCATTGATGATCCAAAGTTATTGTGTCTAAAGTTAATTCTTCCACTAATGTGATCTCAGGCCCATTGTTTCACTACAATGGGACCCAATGATATCCCGATGTTACGCAACAGTTAGTTCCAACAATGGGACCGCCTGTCCTTTGAGAGGCACTTTATTCGAATCTCAGCCAGATATTTTGTCTCAGCCTTATGTCACAAAATTGGAGCTTATCACAAGATGGT